ATCGAAGGTTGCGGAGAAACGATCAAGTTGAGCCTGGGTTGTTAGAGGAAGAACTTTTTTTTTTTTTTAAACAAATATTCTTACTTTTATTTTTTCCAGCCACTGTTGTAAGATGATTTTGAAGTCTGTTTTGTTTCAACCACATACTATAATTTTTTCACCCATTTTCATTCACCCACTTTTTTTTTTCTGCCCAGGGTGTAAATGCCGACAACGTCTCATGGAGACAGCACCTTTCCGCCACCAACTCCGTCCCCCCGGGGAGCTCCTACGATCGGTCGCCCAAGACCACGGGCTCGTCGTCCAGAGGGGAGCAGTGGTCCAGTCGAGGTCAAGCGTCGGGAAGGAGCGGCGCAGGTGGCCGGGTCTGGACCCATCGCCAGGCTGAGCATCGTTAGCGCAAGCTGGGGGGGGGAAAGCCAGGTAAGAAGAGCTCATCGAGATTAGCCATTAGCGCATCGATAATATTGGGTTGTTTTGCTAACCCGCTTGATGGGTAGCTGTTGGATGGTTTGAACAAATTTTCTTCAACTTTTTTGGTGGGGTCAGACAAAAACAAAAAAAGGAAAAGTCATCAAACATTTTTTTTCCCTCCCTTGTTAATTTTTTTTCTGACTTCGCTGTCTTTGTTTTTCCCGACAGATGGCCAGAGTAGGGATCATCATGCAGCACCATCTCCAGCACACTGAGAGCTTCGAGAACAAGCAGAGGCCAGAAAATAATCCCAGCCATGTTTCAAAAAAAACAAAACAAAAACTTAACCGTGACCTCGAATGCACATCAAGACGCAAACATTTCCTCTTCCTCTCCTGCACGGACCATCGCGGAGGGAAGGCCTCGCTACCGCACGTTATCCTCTTCTGCTTGTTTGGATGTATTTGAGTCACCTCGTAGTCATGACAAAGGAGAGGCACATGCGAGATCCGTATCAATCCCGTCACGTCATCTCACAACAAATCGCTGAGTCATGCCGATACTTGACAAAAAAAAAAAAAAAAAAAAAAAAAAAACAGGAAGCGAATTACTTTCCCATCTGAGACTGTCTTGGCATGTTCCGAAGCATGCCCTTCTCCACACACGTACACACTCTGAATAACAGCTCTGGGGAACCGAGAACACACGATAGAATAGGTGTAAAAATTTCTGAGGAGCTGATATAAAGCTGAAAAAAAATGTCCGATTTTACGCAGAACTTCTCCTATTTCAAAATACGTGTCCACAAAAGGTTCCCCACCAGCAAACTGGAACGGTTTCTGTGCTTGGTCATGATTACGCACAGTAATTCGCATCCTGTTGTGTTATCATTTTTCCATACCCCTTTTCTGCTTCCTCTTTCAAATGCAATGCACGTGAAGGGGAATTTTTGTTTGTTTGTTTAAATCTTTCATATACTGGATTTCTCATGGTGCTTTATTTTCTTTCCATCTGTCCTCATTCATGCTTTTGAGAGACATTGCAGCCTGAGTTACCAGCAGACTGTACATTTGCACATCATCGATAACCGGGATGCAAATTAGGCAAATTTTATTCACACACCGGCCAAATTTTGAGTTTAAGTGAAATTTGAATGGACGTGAAAATGCAAGTGATGGCAAAGTGGCATAGTGGATTTTTAAAAAATTTTTTTGAAACAAAAAAAGTCCCACGTCAAGATGTCATCGTAGCCTTTCGCCTAACAGTGATACCTCACTTCTCGCGGTTAATGGGGACCGGGACCCTGCCCCGATAAGTGAAAACCCGCGAAGGAAGGTTGCCCCCCCCCATTGCCCCCCCCC